TTTGCGTTTATAATGGTACGTCTTATAAAGAAGGAGAAATTGTTAAAACAAACGAACCGTGTTTGTTATGCAATTGTAAAAAAGGATCTCTGACGTGCAACCTTCGCGTTTGTAGTGACGGCCCAGAAAAATTATTACCTGGTTGTTTTGTCGTACACAAACCCGATGATTGTTGTCCTCAAATATTTTGTGGTAAAGTTTTTCCGCCGCACCCGCCCCCTGCTCCCCACGCTTTTGCCAAACCTATAATTTAAATTTATATTTTTTTGTCACAGATAATAGTTATAACGATACGCGCGGGGTTGAACTTCGAACAATTTCAAAACCGGAAAACGAAACAATGAAAGAAAATGGTAAAAATGATATTATTATTATTATTATCGTAAATTTAAGGGGTAACTTCCACGTTTATGATTTACAGATTGTATAGAAAATGGAAACGTATTTGCTGAAGGTTCGGCTGTGAGCAGTAACGACTCTTGCGAATATTGTTATTGCATTCGTGGCGAAATCAAATGTATAAAACCTCATTGTTTTATTCCTTTAGAAGGTTGTAAACCAATACATCATGAATCGTCTTGTTGCCCGACACATTACGATTGTAGTAAGTTTTGTAAATGGCAAAAAAAAAAAAAAATTAAAAACCATTAGGGTTACTAAAAATTTTCCTTTTCCCTTTAGGAAATGAAACAAAGAGTACTCCAGTATTAAGAAAAAAAAGTTACGGTAATTATTATTATTATTATTATTTTCTCTTTCGTCATATTAATAATAAAATTTTTTTATTTATAAGGCTGTGAAAAAGATGGAATTTTTTATCCGGAAGGAGAAAAAATATCAACGGGTAATTTATCAAAATGTGAAAATTGTTATTGTATAAAAGGTCAAATTAAATGTACGACAATCACGTGTCCTGTAGAATCAAAATTTAAAAATTGTAAACCTCATAATAATAATAATAATAATAATACTGATGATGATGATAAATGTTGTCCGATAAGTTTTTCATGCGGTAAGATGTTTAATATCAATTTAAAATAAATAAAAAAAAAACTTTTTTCGAATGATGTCTGTCGAAAATAAATAAATAAATAAATAATTTCAGATGATAAACAAACGGAAATAAATAAAGATGAAAAACATAACGATAATAATTTAGAAACGACGACGACGACGACAGAATTAGAAATTTTAAATAAAGAAAATTTCTTTTCAACAACGGAAAAAATAAACGAAGAAAAATCAACGGAAACAACAACAACGGAAATGGAATCGACGACAGAGACAACAACAACAAGAGAAGAAACAGAAACAACTACAATCATCACGCCTACACCTACTACAAATTTTTACATAACAAATCCAACAAATTATAAATCGTTAGAAAGTTTCGAGTAAGTTCTTTTTCTTTTTTCTTTTTTTTTTATTAAAAAATTTATTAAAAATTTTCTTTTTAGAATCGAAAACGATTCGAAAACCACGGAACGTGAAAAAATATTAAATGAGGAAACAATTGCAAAAGTATTATTAACATCTGAACCGGAAACAACAATCGATTCATTTTCTTTATCCACAAATGGCGGTAAACAACATGAAATAAATAAAGAAGACTCGTCGACAAAATTAACCGTTAATAATGAACCGGATACGGATATACAAGGAGAAATATTAGAAAAAAATTCTTCTTTTGTTTCTGACGATTATGAAAATTACGATTATAACGAACCAAAACTTCCGCCATCTCTTCCTAATTTAATGTAAGAAAATTTTTTCTTCTGCTTTTACCCACGAAAGGTAATTTTTTACCCACGAAACTTGTTTGTTTAATAAAAAAAATGTTTTTTTAAAATAGAATTTATCCATTTGTTGCTGCGGACGCCATAAAAGAAGATGAAACTAATTTAAAAGAATCGTTAATAATAAATTATCAAAAAAATTTTTTTATTCCCTCGATAAAAACAGAAGGTAATTTTTTTCTCCACGCGTTATTATTATTATTATTATTTAATCTGTAATATGAGAATTATTATTATTTTTTCAAAGGTGGATTCGTACCGAAAAATCCGACATTTTTAGATTTTACTTACGGACAAAATGATAAAATTGATAACAACGGTGAGGAAACGTTTAAAAATGAAAAGAAATTAACAGAGGAAGATGAATTTTTTGAAACTCCGACATCAACATATTACGGTAAATTAATTATATATTATTTAAAGTATTTAAAAAAAATTAATTTTTATAAATAAATAAATAAATAATATGCGTGAAAATTATTTTAGGTTCTGAAATTCTCACGGTTGAACCACCAACGACTAAATTAATTAGTAGCGATTTCACACCGGATCCATTCATGGACGTTAAACCACCTAATCTTTCTCCGGTTGAAAATTTTAATTTATATCAACCAAATAGATTAATAACGAAACCCGTTACGGTCACGTATAAAAACGCTGTCGTCAATTATTATCCGCCATTCGTGGTCGAACCTTTAAAAGAAACAAGAACGAGCTCGGAATTAAATATGGGTGGAAAAAACGAGTTGGAATCCTTTGTTGGTTTTCATAGTCACACCACACCTTTAAATGGCAATTCCGATACTGCCACCATCATCACCACCACCACCACCACCACAACCGCCACCACCTCCACCGCCACACCTTTTTTAAATGGTGTACTTTCGACGACGACGACGACGGAAAATTCAAATATCGAAAATTTAGATACGAAAACAAAAATTAATAATAATTATCATTATCATCACCATTCGGATTCGAAAAAATCATCATCGATATTAAGTAATTTTATAAAAAGTTTAATTGGAAAAGATGTTAACGATTCTACGTCACTTCCGCCAACAATTTCCCAAGCGGAAATAAAGTATAATTTTTTTTTTTTCAAATAAATTTTTGTTTTTTTGCTAATAATAATAATAAATTATGTTTTTCGTGTTTTTTTTTTTAGCACTCGCGTTTCGTCTACGAACGATACAAATCATAAAAATAAAAATTATGATTTTTTAATTGAACCGGAAACGATTAAACGGGAAGAAGAAGATGAAATGAAAAAAACGACGGAAAATTTATTATTATTGAATAAAATTTTTAATAAACAAGTATCGGAAAAAAATGGCGGCGAAACGTCGACGGAAATAACCGTTGATAATGGGAAAAATGATAAGAAATTATTTATCGGAAATTATTTGAAATTAGCCGGATGTAATATTTATGGAAGAATGTATAGAGTTGGAAAAATAATAATTGAATTATCCAGTCCGTGCCTGGAATGCGTTTGTGCTGACGTTGGAGTTCAATGTAATCCATTGCCTTGCCCATTAAATTAAAATAATAATTTTTTTTTTATAGCACCGTGTAAAATAAATTTGTACCTGATTTATAATAATAATAATAATTTTGTCATATTAATAAATTTTTGTAGATATAAAAATTAATAATCTTATATAAATAAATATATATATTTATAATAATAATAGTAAAAGTTTTTTTTTTCGATATAATTACCCGAGTAATTAACGAATCCTTTCGTGATGAAATTTAATTAAATTATAATTAAATTTAATTTAAAAATAATACAAGTCACGATAATTTTTTTTTTTAATTTATAAAGAAAGTACATGCCGTATCAATAATAATAATAATAA